TAATCTTTTAACAAAGTTACTTAGCTCCTCTGAAGTCCTATGTGTTTAGAACTCGTCCTCTGCAGTGAAAAAGCATTAAGTTATCCCATAGCATTATCAGACCCCAATAGACTGAGCACCCACTGGAGAACAGGAGAGTGGAACATGCTTCTCCTGGCAGCCAATAGGCTGGATCAAGCTCACACCTTCCCCCAGAAACAGTAGAGCTATGAATAGGCATTTGAACAGCCAGAGCTGCTGAAGACATCTTCCCAAATCTACTTCCAGCCTGCTACAGCTGGGCAGCTGCTGTTGGTCTTTGGGATTGGTGAAAACTTCAGTGAGGAGATCACCCCCTCCAACAGCAGCCACTGCCCCATGCCCCTCCTTGACCTCTGGGCTGTGCAGCCAGAGTGGTGCAGTGGGAGTGAGGAAGAGTCACCCTTTCTCACACTGTGGCTCCTCAGAGGCTAAGATCTCAGGCTTTGCCACGAGACCAAGATGGCTAGACACCCATAACGAGGATTTGCCCTGTGCTCCTCTTCCTTATGAGGAGGAAACTTCCTCATGGGCAGAGGGAAAAAGAACTCATCAGAAGATCACAAACCACTGAGAGAGAACCCTAGAGCATCAGCTCAAGCTCATTCATGCAAGAGCCATGGGAAGCATCCCCAGAAACAAAGTCCAGACTGTCAGACTTGGCTAGTCTAGGTGTCCAAGGCTGAGCCAGCCCCCTGCTGTGCAGGCATCCTTGTACAATTTGCCATATCACTTCCTCAGCACTTGGGCGTTAGGTGGGGCTTGCTCAGAGGTGCCATTTCAGAAGGAAGATAAAAACATAGGGTTGCCCACTAGTGGGATAGAAGGCACTTTCACAAGAGCAAAGTGGTGTCCTTTTCACTGGTGCTCTTGCCAGGTGTAATCTATTGTACCACTGTTCAGTACACTTAACACCAGCCCTCTTGCTTTAAAGGTCCTTTCTGGATCCTGCTCTCCCTGCTGGCTAGTGAGGAACTCCTGACAGCTCTAAAAATCTTTCTAGATATCTTCTCTTGAAATTGCAATTAATTCTTGGCCCTAACCAATGCAGAGGCCCAGAACCAACCTGAATGATTCCTCTTCAGTTGCTGGTATTCCCCCAGTACCTTCTTACCTGGTCAAAGAATCCATTCACAATGTTCAGATGCTCAGATGGGTAGGTGGCAAAGATACCAGCAGTGCCATTCTGTCCTGTTACATACAGCTGGTTTTTGCCAAAAGCCCAGATAGCATCTAGAGGGGAAGAAAGGGAAGGAGAGAGAGAGAGAAAGGTCACTCATTTGGCATCATACATCAAAGAGGCACTTGCTTGGAAGATGGTCCCATAGAGCTGTGAATATTGAGACAAAATCCCCTGAGCATCCTATTGCTACATGTTGCGAAACCAGTTGCTATAGAGCAAATGCCAGCTTGGAAAACACAGGGTGTGGTCCACCATAACACTTCGGCAGCCAGACTCAGATTCAAAAGGCCAAAGGTCCTGCTCCTAATGTTTCTTATTGGCCAGGCACTAGCAAAGAGTTAGAGCTCACCCAAAAGGGAACACTAATCTGAGTCTTAATTCCCACCAAGGTGGGAGGGTCAGTGGAGCTGCAGTGGAGTCGGACACCTAGGTATTGTTATGATCTCGTCTGCAACAAACACCAATTAGATCTAACATCCATTAAGTCATGAACATTGGTAAGTGCCGATTGCTTTTACTTGCTTTTGTTTCAGGGTTACATAATAATCAAAGATGTGTTTAGCAGTATTAAACCTTTGTCTGAACGTCAAAAAATGTGTTTAGTTGTTGCCACTGAATATTGCTCTGCTCTACGATGTAGAGGGAACAGATATAAGAGGAACTGGATTTCTAGGATGTCTTCCAAGATGTAGCCAGCACCCTGATAAGGGCAGGCAAAACATTCTTACTGTCTAGAAGCTAACACAAGATTAGATGCACAAGAGGTTCAATGTGAAACTTTTTTTTTTTTTTTAAAACCAAGGCAGCTAAATTGACTCTAGAACCATGCACAAGGATAAGATCTCCATCACTAGAAGTGTTTCATCAGCATTTCTGGAAGATCTGTTCTAATCTAGACAGTAGCTACTAGAGGGACCATCCAGTGGCTGATCTTACAGTGATCATTACTTAAGGATGAAGATTCACATATGACTATGCTGGCTGTCCTTCAAATTGATTTGAGGAGGCTTGAACCTATCATCACCGTGGGAACAGAAAAGACCTCCCAGCTCTCCTGCTCTGCAAGGAAATGCTTCTCTGATCTGGGAAGCAGCCTCCCTAAAGTCAGTCATGAAGAGCACCCCTTGTGCCCCAAAACACATGCAAAGTTTCTCTGCTTACCATGGTACAGCCCAAAGACAATGCCAGCTCCCAGGAAAGCCCCCAGTGTTTGGGCCAGAGCATAAACTGGGAACTTGATCCAGGGCTCCCGGGCCAGGAAGCACATGGCAAAAGTGACAGCTGGGTTCAAGTGTCCACCTGCAGAAAGGTTTGAGGTTAGTGCATCTTTACAGGCAGAATTTGGGCCTCAGATGAGTCAAGGAACGCTGGTTTCCATACCAGTGCTCCATAGAAAAAGCACAACCATCTGGGCCTATGTAACAATTCTCATTGTTTATATCCAGCCCAGGCAGAGTTGCAACATACCTGACACCTGTCCCGAGATCAAAATGCCAAGCATCACCGCAAAGCCGAAGGCCAGGTTAACAGTCAGGAAGCCTCCATGAGATCCTTTGCTGAGCATGGTCTGTGCAACAGACCCACAGCCAAACAGCTTGGGAGGAAAAAAAGAAGGGATTGAAGTCGTTCTCCACATTTCTTGTCAGGGCCAGTTGCTGAACAGATGCCCACAACTGTCATGCTTACATCTGCATGCGCCATCCCCAGCCCCTTGACAGAGATGCCAGAGTCAGCACCAGATCACAAGCTTTGTTGTGTATCTTATGCTAGAGGCTTTTTCCATCATCACTCTTGCTAGAAGCCACATCTTCTGTACTTTGGGGAAAAATACTATAGAAACTGGGAAATTCTCCAGTTTTGGATCTAGCAGTAAATTCTTCTCATCTTCAAAAGCCTCTGGAGATCTACCACTCTCTCTCTGATCCTTCCCTTCTCCAGACAGTTCTTGTACTCTGCAGGGAGACCCCTTCTGTTCCCTCCTCAAGTCTCCTCAGGGGATGACACACGTCCTGACCATCAGCTGAATATGACTCTTCTTGGCTCTGCCTTCACCTTCTCCATACCATCCCTCTTCTCCAAGCTCTCAGTTCTTTCCTAGCCCACCTATGACCCAAAGCCTTCACATCTTCAGCCTTTAGTCAAAGCACCTAGCATCATCTCTAAGGATAACAGGGAAGGAGAGGGGATATAGGGCACCTCTAGCTCCTGGCTTGCTCTCATTCTTCAGGAGGAATGAAAATAAAGGCCAACACTGAAAGCAAGATCAGCCAACAATTCACAGCCATTTCTATGTACAGGAGGCTGAGAGGACTTTGACAAAACATCTAATTTTGTGGTGGCTAAGAGTAGGTGAAATGAATCCTAACTCAGCCAGACTGTTCCCTGGACCTAGCTATTTACTGTGCAGCTGTTCAGATGAGGGATCTGGGTATGTTATTTTTTAAAAAAGCAGTAGCACTGGCAGGGGAAAACTTCACTACAGCCTGGAAACAGAGATATGGCTGAAGGCCATATTCAGCCTGGCATTCATGGAGACTGTTTCTCTCAGGCAGCCAAGGTTGACAGAGTGAGAGACTGGGGCTGCTTCCTTGAACTGAGGTTCCAACAATAGTCTCAGCCCCAAAGTTCACCACCTGCTGTGGGCACTCTGACCACAGCCCATAGTACCCCAAACTGGCTGTATCCCTCCTATGACAAAAGGAGGTGGGAATGGGGCAGGGCAACACAGCTGACCTGTCTCCTCCATACCAACGTGGCACAGGTGCCATCAAAAATAAAAAAAAAAAAGTCACAGCAGAAGCCCTCATTCCTACCCACACCTACGGAAGTCGCTCCTTGGGACAAACTCACTGGATAAAATAGCAGGCTGACCAGGAAAAAAAAAAAAAAAGACTACTATTGCTGTCCAAAAGCCAGATCTGCAGGTCACCAGTCAGGAGCACAAACACTTCATATTATATTAACTGTATGGCTGGCAAATCATTGCTTTCATCCAGGCTCCTCAGGCAACACTCCCATCAACACAGCCAGAGGCTTGGCCTTCTGTTCGGGAGCAGAGGTACATCAAACACTTTGGGAGATGACAATTTTTTCTGCTGGGCGATAAAGGGTGTCTCCTAGTAGCTAAGGACAGGCATGTATTCAGGCTCAAAGATGTTTGCTCCAAACAGACACTCCTTTCCCAACCACATCCAAAAGCTGCCAACCATCCTTTCTGCGCTCACTTCAACAACCCAGCCCAGTCCATCCCTGGCAGCTCAGCCCTTCCCTCATCCAGCTGGGTGCCTTCCCTCTAGCTAAGTCTCTTCATTATCTACTATCTGCTGTATTTTCCACTGACTCTACCCAAGTTGATTCTCAGTTTACACCAGGGATTATTTTATCATCAGGTACTGAGAGCATCCTTGAACCAGAACAGGGACTCAAAGACTGCAGCTTGGTCCTTGCCTGCTCCCAAAGGTCAGAGATGCTCATAGAGATCACGACTTTCCTTATGGGTACATGGTCAGTAGCAATAGCTGGCCACCCATCTAGACTTCCTGCTTCTGTAATCCTCATCATCCCAGGACTACCCAATTGCCACAGGTGGCATCCTCTCCAAGTGGATAAGTCACCAAATGGGCATCGAGGAGGTGGAGTTGGCTCTCCACCCATTCTGCCAATACTGGACATGCCCATTGAGCAATTCAGAACAGGGGCAAAGCCAAAACACAGCTAATTCATCCCCTCCCATCTCCTTGGCAATTGATGAATTACTAATAAAATAAACACTGCACTCTGCCTGCTGGAAAAGGAGTGGTCAGATAGACTACAGGCTAGCTCATGGGATGGACACTCTGTACACAGGTACCTCCCAAAAAGAGGCCAGGTCCACAACACAGGGCCTCATTTAGATTTAAAAAAAAAAAAAAAGCAACCCATAGAAGTCGTTAGCAAATGAGAGGGGACATCCAGCACTGCTCTCTACTGGGTAGAGTCAGAACAGCCCCTTCAATATCCTAGCCCTGAGCAACTGGATTAAGAAACCTAGCCCTGAGCTACCCAACTGAGAAACTGCAGAGAAGACTTGCATGCAAAGGCAGAAGAGATGAGCCTTGTCTATTGTGCAGCAGAGTCATCACTCCCAGCTATGCCCAAACCAAGGGAAGCATAAACTCCTACTGAGCAAGTAAATACTAGGTAATGCCCAGTGTGACATCTATTCCTTTCCTGACCTCAAAGGAGCTTCAATATGCTTTAGACAGAGGTTTGGACAGTATCTGCCTGGAGCATTACCCCTCTCTGAGGCCACACAGCCTGTTGACGTGACCAGGGAGGGGACGAGCCCACAAAAGGCTGCATTGGACATTTGAGTTTGGCAGGGTTGGCTCCAGGTTCTTCCTATTGAAGTAGGCATTTGTATTACTCACTCTAGAAGAACTGGCAGTTCTGCAACTGAATGGCGGTTGGCTCACTAGCCACATACTTTTTAGTTGCAGAAACCACAGAGTAAAGTCTTCCCCTGTTTACCCACGGAAGTCTCCCTTTAACCTGGACGGATTCCAAAAAGTTATTCCCCATCCTCCTCTCCCCCTATCCTACACCTAGTAATAGCTCTCCAGCTTTTCCTCCATAGACTCTTCTATGGACTGTGGAAAAACACTCCAGAGCTGCTCCACAGGAGCATTACAAATATTTATCAGATGAGCCCTAAGCACTATTTGGCTTAATTCAGCGTAACAGTGGAAAACCTGACCCTCAGCAGATAAAGAGTAAGGTGATATTTAGGGGCAAGTTTGAACTTTGATATGCATGTGTGCAATTCCACCCTGTGCCAGAAGAGTCCATTAAGCATGCACACGTTCTCGAACACAGCATCCATCCATGGCATTTGACCTTTAACAATCAGTTCAAATCATGCTCACCCAAGCTTTTGTGGCACGTGGTTTGACATTACAGCATCTAAAATGGAAGCCCAGCCCTCTCCAGCTGGTGTAAGGTAGCAGAGCTCAGCTGCAGCCAGCAGTACACTTTCACATGTCAGGTGTAAGAGTAACCTTGACACAGTGAGTTGCACCAGATAGTTGCATTGTTTGGAAAGAAACAGTTCCGGTAGTTATATTTACAAACACTGCAGTTATGGCAGCTATCATAATGATATGCAAAATGCATGTTTGCATAGAGTAGGATTCATTTCACCTACTTTTAGACATCTGAGTTGTATGAAAAGTCTGAACTGGTCATCTTGTATTCCCTTCGCACTCAACAAGGGGAAACAGCAACATTAGGCAGGCAGGCCATCCTTCCAAGACGGGCATCTAGGTCAAGTCAAATGGCTCAGTCAAGGGTCCCGTTTCTCTCCACTGATGTAGAGAGAACTCAGGGCAACTAACTCTGACTTTCCTCTCTAAGGTGGGGCAGAACGAATCCCACAGCCCTGAAAAGATTTTTTTTTTTTCCCCTTTTGCTGTAATCTTTTGAGACTCCCCCTCACCCCTTCACTTACAGGGGCATCAGAGCCTGGGCCACATACCAGGAGCGTGTACTGCCTGTCATTGTGGTCTACATGATATTCAAGGGAACAGACTTTCATTCTAGGTCTATATCCTCCTGTGCCACAGAAGGCACTCAGCATCCATTTTTAAAGTGTCTTCCTTCTCCAATGCTTGCAGAGATGAGTTTAGGAGCAGCTAGCTTGAGTTCAAAGGCCAAGGAGGTCAAATAAAAGCAATTCAATGTTTGTTTAATTTTAAAAACCCATGTGGCCTTTAAGTCTATATAATTGATGTGAAAGTCCTCAGTCAACGTTACACCTACTGTGTCAGGAGACAGTGGTTCCCACCCACAAGGTATATAAAAATCAGTATAAAATCAGCTCTTGATTTTAATGACTGCTTCCAACATGTTATTTTTACATTATCAGAAAAACATCTCAACCAACAGAAAACCAGGTTAGACACTCACATGGCAGTATATGCAGCAGTCATGTGTTATACCTCTATGGCCCACTCAACAAGTTCAAGAACAGAGCATCGCTCTGATGTATTAAAGCTATTCTCGTAGGAATTGGGGTAAAGGCCATGCACCCATTAACCAGGTTAATAGAAACCTGCTCCCCATTTTCATTGTACCGGCTTGAGCTGATCCTGGCTTACCCTGCAGACAGGGAGGGTTCTCACTCCTCTCCCTTCATGAGCCAATTCAACTCCTTGCATGGCAGAAAACTAATATGGGAGAAAAGCCCCACAACCCACCCACCCATCATTTTTATGCAGGATTAGCAGATTGAACTGGCTCAGTGAAGGGTTGGCAAAATCCAGAGCCTGCATAAGAGAGGGAAGAGCCAGAAGCAGCAGCAGAAAACAGGGAAAGGTAACGAATTGCTGGGCATTACTTCGTACTCTGGGAAACTTCAGCTCCCCATCTCCACTGCAGGTTTGGAAATAGGCCACCCGGCTTTGTCACCCAAAGTGAACACACCCTGTCCCCTCTGCCCTCGGTAGAGAAGGTGAGGCTAGAGACAACATAGTTCTCGAGTTAGCGAAGGCTGGTAGGAAAGGACTTTGACGGGGGGTGGGGTGGGGGGGAGGGAGAAACTGAAAGAGATAATGAAGA